TTTAAGTTCCTATTTAATTAACACAGAAACAGCAAAGGGGGAGGGGGAAATGGGCTGGTGTATAGTTCAAACAAGATAATTCATGACTTCATAACCACTGAAACTGGATGATGATTGATATATGACCTTCATTCTGTTTTTTCTCATATGTTTTGGATAATTTTCTAAATTGAGTTTTCTTTTTTGTTTTTTAAACACTGGGATGGGTCTTTGTTTTTATAAGAACAAATCCCAGTGCTGCCAGCATGTTCTGGGGTTCCACTGTTGCATGCTGACCAAACCTACACTGGATATGAGTGAAGAAAATGCACAAACAGGGGCTGGGAAGTTGGCTCAGTGGTAGAGTATGGGTTCGATTCCTCAGCACCACATAAGCAGAAAAAAGCTGGAAGTGGTGCTGTGGCTCAAGTGGTAGGGCACTAGCCTTGAGCTGAAGAGCTGAGGGACAGCGCCCAGGCCCAGAGTTCAGACCCCACGACAACAACAACAAAATAGGAAACGCACAAACAGTAGCAACCACCTTCACCCTGTGCAGGGGTGGGAGAAGCTCCTCAGGCAAGAGGCTGAGGAGCCTGTTCAGCATCTTCTCCCACAATTCCCTTCTTCTTCTTCCCCCCTCCGCCCACCCTCCCGCTCCCCCCTACCCCCAGTGGCTACAATCTGGGAGCTACTTTCAGTTTCTGGAAGAACCTGTGACACAACAGAACCTCAAGGCCTTAGTAAAATGGTGTTCCATGAGACTCGGCCCCCTTCATCAATACCTTTGGTCCTCTTTCACATTAGTTAATGGCTGAGGCTTTGAGGCACTACTGTGAGACTCTAATGGACCACATGAGACTTTAAGAATCTACTTTTTGGGTTGTATTGGGGGGAAGAGTCAGCATTAACACCCCCACACAGAATACGTTTTTCTTGCAGGAAAACCAATACAACAGTCAATCCAAAAATGCCCTATATATGGGCTTTGGAAGTCATTTTCTTTTTGTCCGTCCTGGGGCTTGAACACAGGGCCTGAGTGTTGTCTTAAGGCTAGTACTCTACTACTACAGCCTCAGCTCCATTTCCTGTTTTCTAGTAGTTAATTGGAGATAAAGAGTCTCACAGACTTTCCTGCCTCTGGCTTTGAACTTCAATCCTCAGATCTCAGCCTCCTGAGTAGCTAGGATTATAAGCATGAGCCACCAGCTACATTTCCTTTTCTATCCTCATGTTAGTGTGTCCATGTGTGTATGTGTACATGTATGTCTATGCGTGTGCGGGCATTTTTAGGGATAGTGGATTTAGCAGCAGGAAACAATAATTCACAGAATCCTACCCAAAAGTTGGCAGGAAAAACTAACTCCAAAGCCTTTTAGGGTCCCTCCTTACCCAGTCACTTCCCACAGGAAAGCAAGCCCAATCTCTAGCCCATCCCACACTAGAAAGCTTACTGCCAGGGACACAGCCTTGAGCACCAACTTTATCACAGACACATTATGTGACCTCTCTAGGTCCTGGGCCCCCATGTCTACAATAGGAGAAAATTGCTCTATTTACAGAGCTGGTTCAAAGAATTTGAAAAGCCAGACACAGGTGGTTCACACCTGTAATCCTAGCTACTCAGAAAACTGACATCTGAGGATCATGGTTCAAAGCCAGCCCAGGCAGTAAAGTCCTTGAGACTCTTAATCGCCAATTAACTCCCAGAACACTGGAAGTGGGGCAGTGGCTCAAAGTGGTAGAGTGTTAGCCTTTGCAAAAGAGCTCAAAGACAGTCCTTAGGCCCTGAGTTCAATCCCCACAACTGACAAAAAAAAAAACAAAAAGAATTTAAAAAATAGAGACCCTTCATACCATATGATTTGTAACCTATACAAATGTTTCCCAATGATGGTCCACAGAATCTGGTCAAACCAGATTTGAGAAATATGATATTGCCATATTGCTCACAAAAGATGAGCACACAAAAATGAGCTCTGAGAAGTCCTTAAGTTTTAGGATTTTATTATTGTTGTTGTTTGTTTTGCTTCTGAATCAAACCAGTCATTCCTGCTACCTACATCTACATCTCTAATATTTTTTTATCTCCTAAGGCAGGATCTCACTATGTAGCCTGGAACTGGCCATCCTCTTGCCTCTACTTCCAAATGTTAGGATTACAACAATTGTGCACCACTATGCTTGGCAGTCCTGCAGTTGTTTTTTTGTTTGTTTGTTTGTTTGTTTACTAGTCCGGTCGTGGGGCCTGAACTCTGGGCCTGGGTGCTGTCCCTCAGCTCTTCAGCTCAAGGCTAGCGCTCTACCTCTTGAGTCACAGCGCCACTTCCAGCTTTTTCCTTTTTGCTTATGTGGTGCTGAGGAATCGAACCCAGGGCCTCAGGCATGCAAGGCAAGTGCTCTACCACTGAGCCACCTTCCCAGCCGCAGTCCCGCAGTTTTTAACATCACTGAATCCATTCTAATTTCTTAATGCTTTGGTTCCCAAAACCCTTCCCTCCTGGGACATCAATTTAAGGAACTGAACAATCTCTTCTCAAGCTCTAAAGAACACCTTAAAAAGCAGTGGTGCCATTGGGGGAGGTGGGATACAGAAGGCCATGGTTCCTGCCATTGTCGCAGTAACTTTCTCTTTGGTATCACACCATTCATAATCGTATACCTCACCAGGGATCCACTGCTTCCTGCACAGGTCAATTTCATTCCCCCCCCCCTTTTTTTTTTGCCAGTCCTGGGGCTTGAACTCTGGGCCTGGGTACTGTCCCTGAGCTCTTCACTTCAAGGCTAGTGCTCTTGAGCCACAACACTACTTCTGGCTTTTTCTGTTTATGTGGTACTGAGGAATCAAACCCAGGACTTCATGCATGCTAGACAAGCATTTTACCATTAAGCCAGATTCCCAGCCCTTCATTCCCACTCTTGCAAGCCGCATTACACATAGAAGACTGAAAGGGCTTTGAATTTATCTATTCATCCTGGAAGAAGGCTCATCAGCTTCTCTCAAATATGCATCTTTGCAAGTCGCTGGTGGGGACTCTGTAGCTGCTGTTACTCGATTTGAAGCCAGCCCAGGGAGCTAAATCTAAGCAACTCTTATCTCTGATTAACCAGTAAATAGGAGTGAAGGTGTGACTCAAGTGGAAGAGCACCAAGCCTTGTGAGAAAAAGCCAAATATACACCTTTCAGTCTGCCCACTGCCCTTACTGCCAACTCAGACTAACTTTAAAATCTCAGATTGTGCGGGCTGGGAAAGTGGCTCAGTGGTAGAGTGCTTGCCTTGCATGCATGAGGCCCTGGGTTCGATTCCTCAGCACCACATAAGCAAAAAGAAAAAAGCTGGAAGTGGCGCTGTGACTCAAGTGGTAGGGCACTAGCCTTGAGCTGAAGAGCTGAGGGACAGCGCCCAGGCCCAGAGTTCAGGCCCCAAGACCAGACCCCAAAAAAAAACAAACTGAGATTGTACATCCCACCAAAGACCCCCTACCCCATCCCTCCATGATCTTTACTTCCAGCCCTCCTTGGGCAAACAGACCCTGTCTTTCCCAACACAAGGCAGGGGCCTTGTCAAATTCTGATTCCTTGAGACTTTTCCTTTTTCCTACAGTCTAACTCATTCATGACTGCCTGTCAGTCACCTCTCCCATCCACTCCAGTCAGTCAGTAGGGGGTGAGGGTGGGGCGGCTCTGCAGCTCTGCATAGTGCATCTTTGAAAAGAAAGAGCACAAATGATTTTGAAGATGTACTTAGAAACCTGGGTTCTTGCCCATGTAATTGTAACCCCTCTGTACGGCATTTTCACAATAAAAAAAAAAAAGAAATCTGGGTTCAAATCTTGTTTCTGTATCTTCTTGGCTGGATAATCCAGTTATTTAACTTCTTCTGTGGCCTCAGTTTGCTTATCTACATAGTGGGAAGGAGGGGACAAGAGTCCAGCTCTGGGGGTGGTTGCAAGGTGAAACGACTTGAATAAAGCCTTTAGGACACCAGAAGAGGCTGGGAATGTGGCTTAGTGGTAGAGTGCTTGCCTAGCATGCATAAATCCCTGGGTTCAATTCCTCAGTACCACATAAACAGAAAAGGCTGGAAGTGGCATTGTGGCTCAAGTGGTAGAATGCTAGCCTTGAGCAAAAGAAGCTCAGGGACAGCGCCAGGCCCTAAGTTCAAACCCCAGCTCTGGCAAAAAAGAAAAAAAAATCTAAGACACCATGAGAGAGTACACAAGTTTTAGCTAATACTATTATTATCATTATCTCCCCCACAGAGCCTTCCCTAGCATGAGCGGTCTTTAAAAACTCTTCATATCTGTATTTATTCCTTCAGCGGAGGTCCTGGGCACACGGAGGGCACTCAGGGAGGCTTTCCAGGCTGAGAGGAAAGTACCAGGAACAAGATCATAGGCCAGAGACTGGGCGGGGTGTTCCCACCACCCCACTAGGGTGCTTTCCCGCCCCAGCACAAGGGCCCAGCCCAGCCAAACCAGCCCTACCGCTAAAGCCACAGTCTGCTAGGGCTGGATGGGGCCACCACAGATGAGAAACTGAGGCTTGCCAGGCCTCTTCCCCACCTCACCACCCCGAGGCTAGACAAACCCGCACTCGTCTGCTGTGGGTGGAGCTGTTTTCAACTTTATTTGGTGGAAAAGAAGAGGGGCAAGCAGGAACCGACACGGTCTCCACCTGAGGATTTGGGAAAGGCAGAGTTCCCCCGTCCATTCACTAATCTGATACCGGCCAATACCCCCATTTCACGATACACGGGGTTACCCACAGGGTACTAAAGGGCAGAGAGCAAAGTCGTTTCTGTTTCTTTCCTCCAGGAACTCAACTTGCATGTGATTTTCCCCCCCTGCTGCGGGCAGTAGGGCCTTCCTGGTGGCCCTGGCTTGCTCTGGGACCGGGCGCTGCGGGGAGGGTAGTGCCCGGCGCCGGCCGGCTCCCGAAAGTCGAGGCGCGCTTCCTGGAGGAGGCGGTGCTTTTCGCGCGCGAGCAGCCGGGGACCCAACCCCTGCCCTCCCTCACTCACCGGTGTCCAGAGAGGTGAACCTGGCGCTCGGGCTGCCTCGCCGGTTGCCTCCGCTGCCGCCGCTCCCGGGCATGCCCAGCGACTGCAGCTGCCGGACCAGCTCGGGCACGCGGTCCCAGTGGCCCTCGGCGCGGCAGCGCTCCAGCTCGCTTTCCACCTTCAGGTGGGAGCCGTGCGCGCCCTTCGCAGCCATCTTCGCGCGGGCGTTGTCATGGGAGGGGCGGCTGAGAAGTGGAGACCCGGTCGGGGGCGGCGTCCTGGCTGGGGCGCAGACGCGGGCGGGGTAGACGGAGGTGCAGACGGCAACTGAGGTCGAGGTGGCAGGGGGGCCCCAGGTGGCGGCCGTCGGGCAGCAGCCGCAGCAGCTTCCAGTGCACCGCCCGGGACCTCCGGGCTGGGACTCCGGCTTCTCGGCCCCACCGCGTCCAAAAGCAGTCTCCGCCTC